GGCAGAGATCGTGCTGGGCTCTGTAGGGCACAGTGGGGACTGGGTTTTTCCTCTGAGAAAGAGGGGGGATCGTGGGAGGGCTTGAGCAGAGGAGGGACACCATCTTTTGTTTTACAATAACCACTCTGGATGATGGACAGACAGACAGGGCAAAGGCAGAAGCAGAGAGAGCAGTTAGGAGCCCATTGAAATATCCAGCCCAAGAAGCAGTGGAGGCAGTGAGCAGTGGTGGGATTCTGGATATATTTTCAATCCAAGAGGACTTGAAGACGGAGCAGATGTGGGGTGTAAGGAAGTGAGTTTCCAAGGTTTAGCCCGGCATCTGGAAGGATGGAGTTGCTATCACCTGAGATGGAGGCTGGAAGGAAGGCTCAGGGGTGGGGAGGAATGAAGGCCTGGCCCCCCAGGCCCCCCTGGTATCTAAGCGGCCAGGATGCACTGCCCCTGCCACCCTCATCCATGGAGCTCAGCCTCTTGCAGGGCAGCCCAGCCCCCAAGCAGCTGTGCACCCCAAGGCAGCTTCCCTGCCCCAGCCCGGTGGAGGCCACCCTTCCTCTCCTGTCCTGCAGGCAGCTGGAGATCAGTTGGCGCTGGGAGCGCTCCTGCAGCGTCTCCAAGGGCAGAGGAAGTGGGTGTCGCACACAGGCTGTGCTGAGCCTGCTGCAGGAGGTGGGCCCTGGACCAGCTGACCCCTGGGGAACACAGCAGGTGTGCCCGCTCTGGTACTCATGGGGACCCAGCCCTCTGGGACTACAGTGACCACTCATCCCTCCCCAGGAGCGAGTTGGCGCTGGGAGCGCTCCTGCAGCGTCTCCAAGGGCAGAGGAAGTGGGTGTCGCACACAGGCTGTGCTGAGCCTGCTGCAGGAGGTGGGCCCTGGACCAGCTGACCCCTGGGGAACACAGCAGGTGTGCCCGCTCTGGTACTCATGGGGACCCAGCCCTCTGGGACTACAGTGACCACTCATCCCTCACCAGGCTCAGCGATTGGGAGAGCTGCCCCCTCCTGGGGACACGAAAGGTCAGTTGAGGCACCTGCGGGAACACCAGGCCTTCCAGGCTGAGGTCCAGGCCCACGAGGAGGTCATAATGTCAGTCGCCGAGGTAACAGCCAGGCCGTCAGCCCCAGCCCTGCCCCAAAGTTGAATCCCAGGATGGCCAATGGGAAAGGCCTTAGGCAGGGGCCTGTGACGGAGGAAAGAGGGGAGGGTGACGGGCAGGGCCTCCCAGTGGCCCTCCTTCCCAGGAGGGTGAGGTTCTCCTGGCACAGAGCCACCAGCCAGCGGAGAGGTCTCCCAGAGGCTGCGGGCGCTGTGGGAGCGCTGGGGGACGCTGACACAGGCGGTGGCCCTCTGGGGCCAGAACCTGCAGGACATACAGAACTTCCTGGAGTTCCTGCAGAGAGAGGACCATTGTGAGGCCTGGATGCAGGGCCTGGTGAGGTCCCGCTGGGCAGGGGCGAGTTGGGGGTGAGGCTGTGGGGCTGAGAACTGGGGAGCCCCAGGCCTGCAGCCCCCTGGCTCCCTGACAGGTGGGAGCCCCGGCAGCTAGGTGCCAGGGGGCTGGGTGCACCAGGGCTGGTGCTCACAGGGCTGCCCTCCTGCTCCTCCGCCTCCACAGGGGGTGATGGTGAGCCTCGGTGACCTGGGACAGAACCATGAGCACTGCCTGCCGCTCCTCAAACAGCTCCGGGAGCTCCAAGGAGTCTGGGCCGGGGTAAGGGTCCTCAGGGGGGAGGTCGGCCAACACATCCCCCCATTGGGAAAACAGCTCAGAGTACTGGGCTCTGGAGTCAGGTGTGGGCTCAAGTGACAGCTCCGCACTTACTGCCTGGATGTGCTGAGACAGGCTCCTTCATCTTGCTGAGCCTCAGTTTCTCTGTCTTTAAAATGGGGCTAACACCTACCACCTCGTAGGCAAGAGAGCATGTACGTGTGGGGGTGGTTACACGAATCTGTACAAGTAACAAAACTACACAGCACTATACCCCCCCCCCACACACACACACAGATGAGTGCATGTAGAAACGGATGAACTCTGAATGAATCTGTAGCCCAGTTATTCATACTGTGTTGTAGATATGTGAGCTGTTACCAGTCAGGGGAAGCTGGGGGAAGAGTAATGAGACTTTTCTATACTAGTTTTGCAAGTTCCTGGACATCTATAATTACTTCAAAATTGAAAATAAAAGAATGCAAGAATGCATGTGTGCCTGAGTGTAATGGGTAATCAGTAACCATCCTTCAGCATCTCAGCATCTCCCCCTACTCACACACACACCCAAACATCTATTTCTCTTATGAAGGTGCTTTTCGGATCCCAACAAGCTGCATTTTAACTCCAAAAGCGTCTGTTAATTACTGCGTACCCACCGCCCCCTCCCATCTGGTCCTGACTCAGGAGCACATTTCTTTCTGGCCTCAGACTGTGAGGCTGCGGGCTCCTGGTGTGCCCTGCTCACTGCCCCTGGGTGGGACGGGACGGGATGGGGCACGGAGGAGGCAGCTGCCTCCACTCCCCAGACAAGCTGCCTCTCATGCTCCCTCGGGCCCAAGCAGACACTCAGTGCCAACTGCAGTGCAGATAGGGGCTCAGAGTGGGCGGTGCCAATGCACTCACCCTGCACCCCCACAGGGCGCAGAGGATGACACCACAGGAGCAGCAAGGACTTGTCGCTGCCTCTCAAGAACCGGGACCCCCAGCAAGTCAAGGCCATCTGCCAGCGGCAACACCAGCTCAACAGCAGGCCAGCCCCAGGGTGGGAAGCAGTGGGCAGGAGAGGGGGCTGGAGGGCCAGCTCAGACTCAGCCTCACATCCTCTCTGCCAGGTGGCACAGTTTCCATGGCAACCTGCTCCGGCACCAGCGGCAGCTTGAAGATGCCCTGGAGACACACACGTTGTCCTGTGAGTTGGATGCCGTCACTGAGCGGATCAGAGAGAAATGCAGCCCAGAGTGAGCGCTGCTCACGGGCCCTGCCCTCGCCCACCTCTCCTCTTCAGCGAGGGCACTTGGAGGTTCCACCAGGGGGGCCTCAGGGGTTCTCAGGACCCTCTCTGGACTGTAGGAGCCCCCACTGCAGTCTTTGAGGATACCCCACCTGGATCCTTTCACCCCCAGAAGCACCGTGAGGCCAGAGGCCAGACCCCCCACCCCAGGGTTTTCTCCGTTGTCCCTGAGCAAGCTCAGACCCGGGCGTTAGCCCAGGATTGTGTCAGCCACCGCGAGAATGGCCGGCCAGCTGCCGGCAGAGGCAGAGTGGAGGGGCTGCAGGCAGCCTGAGAGGCCCCATGTGGAACAGACCATCCTCACTTCTCCTGTGGCTCCCACCTCACCAGGCCCGCCCGTCCGTGCTCAGCTCCCCCCAAAGGGATGAGGTCCAATGAGACCGTGTATGTGGAAGCACCTCACAGATGGCAGTCCCCACCCCAAATCTCTCCTCAGAACCCTCTGCCCCACGAGGGCTCTGGGAAGGGAATCACCTGCGTGCTCACTTCCTACACAAAAACCCTGCAGCCAGCGACCCCTCTGCAGGGAGGGAGGAGCTGGAGAAAGGCCAAGCCGGTGTCTCCCCATTCCTCCCAGGCCGCCCTGGTCCAGGCCCTGGACTGCGTGCAGAGGCTGCTGTGGAAACGTGAGAAGTTGGCACAGGAAATGGGCCCCATTCAGGCCCGGCTGGCGGTGTGTGGCTGGGCGTGGAGGTGGGGCCCTGGGAAGGCAGGCGGAGGACCAGGGGCTTCGGGACCTCGAGAGCCGGCAGGGTCCACTCAGCTGTTACTCCTCCGGGCCCCTGGAGCCGGCACTCCCCTGAGTAAAGCCTGCTTCCCCCACGGCCCCTGGAGAGGGAGGAGGGCCGCCTCTGCCAGAGAAGTCCCCTGGCGGCCACAGCCTCAGCCGCAGCAGCAGGAGATGGTGGACCGCTGGCGGCAGCTCCGGAGCAGGGCCCAGAAGTGGTGCGAACCCCAGTGCCCTTGCTGACCATCCCTCGGTCCCCATACTTCTTTGGCCCCAGTTCTCATCCTTCAAATACCTGTCCGTGTTGTCACCCCATTGATCCCCAGCCCCTGGGGGCCCGTCTTTGGCTGAGGGGATTCTGGGACAGAAGGCACTGGCAGGCAGAGGGGGGAAGAGGGGCTCAGAGGACAAGCTGATGAACCCTGTGGGCAGGCGGGAGTCACTGGATGCCTCGCACCAAGCTCAGAACCTGCAGGCAGTGCTGCGGGAATTGCCGGTCTGGGCCCGGGGCTGCGGGCGGAGATGGATGCCTGAAGTGCCCCCCGCAGCCCCACAGAGGCCCAGCACCTGCTGGAGGAGCTCCAGGAGCTAAAGGTGAGCAGTTAGACCCTGGGATCTCACCTCCTCTCTGCCCTCTCCCTCCTGTGATCCCAACTTTCTCTTGGGTCCTCTTTCCATCACCTGCCTCTGCCTTTCTCCTCTTCCTCCCATCCCTCCTCCAGCTGCCTCCCAGCCCTCCTCCTCCCCACTGGGCCTCCTCCAGCCCTGGCGGCCTCAGCTCTGGGATCTGAGTCCAGCCCTGTTACAGGCTGAGCTGGACTCCCGAGCAGACAGCATACGCCTGGCCCGGAGCACAGGCAGTGCCTGCTGGCAGTTGGGCACCTGTGCACCCCTGGCATCCACCAGGCCCTGGCTGGCTTAGACCAGGAGCTGCATGGCCTGGAAGGGACCTGGCAGGAGCGCCCGCTGCAGCGGCAGCAGCCTCTGGAGCTGCAGGTAAGCAGCCTCCATCCTGCCCTGCCCACGGGGGCTGCACTAACCCCACCGCCCTGGTCAAAGCCAAAGCCAGAGAGGCTGCTGTGCCAGGGCCTCTTCCCACCGCTCACCACCCAGCTTGCCCACAAGTCTTGCCTGCGTGGACTCGTCCTGTTGACCCAGGCCCCAGGTCCCTTGTTTCCCCACTGGGCACCTACAGGTTCGTGCCCCTGCAGTCACTGGACTCACTTCCTCTTGCCTTTCCTTTCCCAGCGGTTCTTCCTGAGCTCTGTGGAGCAGATGGGAAGTTGGCTCTGCAGCCAGGAAGTGTGCCCAGCCGGTGAGGGTCTGAGGTAGGTGCCAGCAGGAGTGAGGGAGGGAGGGTTTACCAGAGCAGCGTTAGGGACCAAACCAGCCAGGGCTGCCTGAGCTCCCAGGCCAAGGGGTCTCCCCACCTCAGCCACATCAGTCCCTGGGCAGTTACTTGCCCATCTATGTGAGCAGTTCAGGTGCACCCGCCCCGGGAATGCCGTGGGAGCTTACAGGGTGAGCGTGTGGCCCAGGCCCATTCTTGCCTTCTTCCCACCACCCTTCTCACCTCTGCCCTTCTCGCTTCCTTGCACCCAGAGGTTTGCTTCTCCGACCACTGTCCCGACCCCTGTGGCAGGCGAGCCTGCTCATGGGAAACCTCAGAGAACCATCGGGGCCCAGCCCATCCTGTGCTGAGGAGCCTTATTGGGAGTGCGAAGAAGGGGAGGCGTTCCTGCCACGTGAAAGCCCCACCTGCCCTGGAAATTCTGGCACTTAAACCGTAGCCCCCAGTACCTTCCCTGGCTGAGAATCACAGTCCTAAAGCCAAGTACAGCCTCGAGGGTTCCAGGGGTGAGCTGAGGCTGTGCTTGGTAGGATGGTTTTGGGGGGAAAGCATAGCTTGGGATAGGGGGGTGCAGCCCCATGCACAGTATCAGGGACCCTTTAGCCAACGTGGAGACCCTCCTGCGGGAGCACGGGGTGCTGGAGCGGGGCCTGGAGGCACCGGCGGGAAGGATCAGCACTCGAGAAGCCTGGCCCACAGCCTGCACCGGGGTGGACACCCCGAGGCCCAGGGCACCCTCAGCCGGTGCCGGGTCACGCTCCTCAGGTACCTCTGGCTCTGGGGCTGAGGGGAGTCGTGGGAGGCTGGCATGGGCATGGGGCATCTGGCTCTTCCCTTCCTGCCCTTCTGCCTCCTGGCCCAGGCTCACCGGCCTTTGCCAAGGGCTGCAATCAGAAGCCAGGGCCCCACCACCTCCCCCCTGCAGGGAGGGGGTCCGTTATGAATGCCAAGCAGCACATGGTCATTGGGCTGAGATCAGGGGGAGTGTTACAGGGGGAACGAAGAGAGAAACAACCTAATGGAATGATGGTACCAGCGCCAGGGCTACGGTCAGGCCTCCAGAGCCGGGCAGTCCTGAGTTCCCTGCTGCCCACTCACGGGGGCGCTGGGGCAGACTCCTCATGGAGTCCAGTGTCTGCTGCACGGGGACAGCACTGCCTGCTCTGGGGCTGCATGAGGCCTGAAGGGAGCCCTCATGTCCTCGCTGGTGCCTGGCACTCTGGCCACTGACAGGTTTCTTTTATGCTCATTTAACTGAAACCGACACTGCTGACAAGGTGCCAGGTTCCACAAGGAGCCTCGTCCAGCTCCTCAGACTTTTAGATCAAGGCAGATCTTGGCCAAAAGCTGGACCCCAGACTGGCAGGGTCTCCCTCCTGAGAGAGCCCACCGGGACCCATAGTGTTTGTGACGCCTCGTGCTGGTGCCCTGGCAGGGGCAGGTGAGCCATCCCCTCCTCCTTGCAGGTAGACCCCTACCTGGGAACCCTGGGGGGTCTTTGATTGACAGATGGCAAACGTTGGTTTGCTGGTCTCTGTCAACACCCTCTCTGCCCATCACTTCAGACAGTTCCTGGCAGGCCCAGCTGCCTCGGTGGGGAGCGCCACCTGACCCCTCCCCTCCCAGGCTTCTGGCGTCCTCTCAGGTGTTGGGTTCCGTCAAGCCTCCCTGCATGGCCCCTGCACCCCCTTCGGCAGCCCCAGAAGGAGGAGGCAAAGGCTAACACACCAGCACTTCAGACAGTTCCTGGCAGGCCCAGCTGCCTCCGTGGGGAGCGCCACCTGACCCCTCCCCTCCCAGGCTTCTGGCGTCCTCTCAGGTGTTGGGTTCCGTCAAGCCTCCCTGCATGGGCCCTGCACCCGCTTCAGCAGCCCCAGAAGGAAGAGACAAAGGCTAACACACCAGTGTGGGGACTTGGCCAATATGAGGTGTGGGTGGGCCCCAGGGTGAGAGGGGCACATTAAACTTTCTTTTCCTATTTTTTAATGATCTCGTTTCTTTTTTGAACACATGACAATGTACTTAACATATTAGTACAGAAGTATATACATATATAGAATAATATATAGCTAAATACATGCACACACACACAAATACATATATATTTGGGAAGTCCCTGCTCAAAAAATTCTTACTAATAGCAGTTCATGATCAAAGGTGGTTTAGACGGCCTGACTGGTGTGGCTCAGTGGTTGAGCATCAACCTATGAACCAGGAAGTCGCGGTTCAATTCCCTGTCAGGGCACATGACCAGGTTGCGGGCTTGATCCCCAGTAGGGGACGTGTAGGAGGCAGCCGATCAGTGATTCTCTATCATCATTTTTTTAAGTATGTTTTTATTGATTTTAGAAATAAGAAGGGAGAGGGATAAAGAGATAGAAACATCAATGATGAGAGGAACCTCCTGCAGGCGCCCCTGGATGGTCTTGGGGCCGTGGCTGTCCTTAAGAAAACGGGAGCTGTGTGGGGGTGGCTTGGCGGAGTTAGGAGCTGCCGGACATGCTGTCTGCTTCTTGGAGGTGTGAACCACACCAGGAGGGGCCAGGTAGGGAGGCAGGAGGTGGAAGACTTCTGCCTGGACCAGAGATGCCATCTCCCAGGGTCCGAGCCAGAGCCGCCTCCTGAGCTGACCCTCTCCTCTCAGCAGGTGGATGCCCCAAACCAGCGTCCTCCCCACATGGACCCACCTCACCCGCTGCAGAGCCCCCATCTCTGCCTTTCTCACGTGTTGTGCCCTGAAGACACTCTCCCCACAGGATGCCCCTGAGGCCCGACCACATCATCAGTAATATCGCGTTTCACTGAGCAGCTGCCACATCTGGGACATGTTCTGTGCCTGGGGGGTCATGAGCGAGTCACCCAGCCCTGCAAGGGGGTGGCCCAGGAGGTCATGACTCCGGGGAGAAAGGACCCTAGGAATACGCTGAGCCCAGAGCAGCCCGCCCGCCCTCTTCCGGAGCCTGGCTGCAGCCCGGGAGCTTCGTGGCTTGGAGCAGGCCATGGCTGAGCTTGGCCTGGATGCAGGACAAGGCCACCCTGATGGCAAGAGACACCTGTGACCACAGTTTGTCATCGATGCAGACCCTGCAGCAACAGTACAGGCACCTGGAGGTGAGGGCCCATGCTCTGGGCTTCCTGTCTGAGCCACTCCCTGAAGACAGTGGGTAAGGGGACCCTAGAAGCGAGAGGCAAGGACCCCCTCCCAGCTTGTGGAGCCGAGCGTAGGTGGCCTGGCCAGTGAGGACTGGACTCTCGAGTGAGGAGCACACAGGAGGGAGTGAGATCTGATCCTCTGTCCTGGCAGCAGAAGGAATTGGCAGCCGTGGAGAAGAAGGTGGCGCAGGTGCGGACAGAGACTTACCGCCTGGGCCTGCTGCAACCTTCAGCTCAGGACAGCCTGGCCCAGCAGTTGGCCAAGGTGCAGGAGGCCTGGCCACCCTGGATGCAAAGGTCCAGGAGCGGGGCCAGCAGCTGGAGCAGGCTACCCGGGGCCACACCTTGGATGCTGTCAGGAACTACTGTAGATGACATCCTGCCCCCGCTGTGGGCTCAGCTCTGCCTGCAGGGTGGGGGTCACCCAGCTCTTTGGGGAACTGGACTCTGCCGGAAGCCGGTCCATCCTTCCTGCTTGACACAGTCGCTGCAGGGAAGAAACATCTGCACAGCATATGTTTCAAGGGACCTGGTGTATATAGCACACTGTTCTTAATATGTTTGCTCACCTTCTTGGCGCTATGTGTTTTAACCAAGGTCACCTCTCCGAGAAA